CAGGGACGGAGCCAGGATTTCAATACTGGGGGGCCGAGAATTGGAATGATCAAATGAGGCGCTACATTTTTTTAAAAAAAAAAAAATTCCAAAGTGATACCACATAGCAGGCCGTACCAGAAGTCCAAAAGTTGAATAAAAAAATAAATTTGGGTTATTCATTTAATTATACATATGAGTTTATATTAAAAATAGGGGGTGCCATATAGTAATATATATGTATATAAAAAAAAATTAAAATTGTTGGGGGGGCCGTGGCACCCGTAGGTCCCCCCTTGGCTCCGTCCTTGTTTACAACCCCATGCAGTGTAGAATTATCGTATGACAAGAATGGCAAGAAGTACCATCTGAGTAGGTATCATAATTATGTCTTATTTGATTTTTTTCAAAACTTATATTTTTTCTTTTATTTTTTTTTGGTTGAGATTATTTCCAAAAGTTGAAATCGCAGCTTTAAGTAAACTAATTTTCAAAAATAAAAAATAAAAAATAAAAAACAAACTAATTTGATAACCAAACAAATTATAGTTCATCTTATTCAAATTTAAAGTAAAAAATAATAATAAAACAAACTAATTTAATTATTTTAGGTCAGATTTCCAGAATCTTTAGATAAATGAGAATTGGTGAAGACTCGTAATTCACCCTTCTATTTGAGTCGTTGTTGTTGTTGTTTTTTTTTTTTCCTGCTGCTTTGAGTGCATCACATGCTTATATCTATATTATGAATTTTAGTTTTCAAAAAAATGGGACGGCTAACTTATATATTTATTATCTTAATTTTTATTTTAAAATTAAAAAAATGTAAATAGAAGTGAATTCTACTGTTAATTGAAGCTGGGACATCATAATATGAATAAAATAATTAATGCTACCTTATGTAACGATTCTTGAACATATGTAACAATTTTAATGTTTATGGTGATGAAAATAAACACTACAAGAAAACTTGTCTTTAGAGACAAAATTTTTAGTCTCTAAATTAACAAAATCAGTTACTAAATCAATAAGTGACTAAATTAGATACCAATTATAGAAAGTAGCTAAACCACTGGTTGCTAATTTTAGCTACCAATCTAAAGTCTAATTTAAAAACTAATTTAATGACCATTTTTTTATGACCAATTTTGCGACTAATTTTATATTGACCAACTTAGTAACTTATTCTACAATGACCAACTCATTGACCAATTTTATAACAACTCTTTTAATTACCAATATTATAGTAACCAATTTAGATACCAATTTTGATAACAACTAATTTAGTAACCTATTTTATAATGACTAACTTAGCAACTTATTTTGTAATAATCAACTTAGTGACTGATATAATAACTAATTCTAAAGTAACCATTTTAGTGACCAAATTTTAAAATAATTGAATTAGTGACCCATTTTTCAATGACTCAAAGTGACTGATATAATATTAAAAAAAAAGTAGTCGCTAAAATTTTTCCTTATTCATCTTTCTTATTTATGCCATTTTCTTTCATATTTATTATCTTCTTTATTCAAATTCACCACATACCTAACTTCAATTATTTTTCTACTAAAACATAATAATTATTTAAGTATAATATTAATTATTTATTTACTTCACATATTTATTCTATGTTAAACTATTATGCAAAAAGTCATCATACACTATATAATAACATGAAAATTAAGTAATTAAATTTTTTAATTTTTTAAAACTACACATAATATCCACCAAACATACAATCCTCACTATCTATTTGAGAATGCGATGTTTAAGACGATAACCATCTAGCATTCGAACAACAATAGTAATTGTTTCATTACATAAAGATGGTTCCTTAGAAAGCCTAACTTCTTTCTTGTCAAGCATTTTCCCCATTTCCTGCAATCATGAGGCACACAAAATTCAGTACAAGAATTTGAATAGTCATACAGCAATAAGAGTCATGCACCCACACAATGGACACGACAAGCTTCCCTGTTTCTTCATTAAATTCATAGTTTGTGGCGTCACGAGGAAATATTCCTATGGGTAGATCGAATTCCTTTAGCAACTCCGTTAATGGCTTTTGCATCTTCCCTGTGAAGCAATTGTTTAGAGTTAGAGAGTAATAGTAATAAAAAAGGGGGGAGTGACTGTGATTGAGGGGTATCTTATTTATTTTGATTTGATTTGCTAATGGGAGGTGTGAGATGAGAATAACTGGGGAAAGCAATGGGTGGAGAAGAATGCATAAATCATCTTTGAGAGGACATAGCAGATTTCTAAGATTCATAAAAGTGAGATGCTAGTAAATTCAATGTGTAATTTGTATGTACTAAAGATCAAATATAAATATCCTACTTCCACTTGCATTGCCTAAGGAATGATCAAATATTAAAATTCAAAAGATTTATTGTACAAGATCACTTGGTCATGACGATGCATACCTTACAATGCATGTTTTTACATTAATTCTATTTCAGATTTCAGAATGTTATATAAAGTCTTCTCAGTGTATCCAATTGTTCTTCAGAAAAGAACTGCAAATATATATTTTCCTATTTACAAGACTTACCCCTGCCTGCACCCTCAACTAATATATGTAAAGTTATAAACACAGTTGACAGTGATTCATATCTCAAAATACTAAATTTCCAAATGTTAGTCCAATCCACTCATCATGGAGGATTAGATCTCTTAAATTCTGGTCAAATGAAAATCAATTACATATAAGATTGGTTCAAATATGTATTAATGGCCTTGGCTATAATGCAAGGATTTTGAAATTTCAACACACTTATTTATTAGGGATTGATTTAAATTAAAAGAAACCCCCGACTACAGCACATATTTCATAGCGTATATTTGTACAAATGTTTGAGCAATACATATAAATATTGTAGATACAAACCTTTTAATTTGTTGACCAGCCATTTGGTTCCCCCTTCAATACTAGTTGACAGTGACTAATCAACAATGGCAAAGTTGTTAATATAAACATAAGCAATGAAATGTCTTCTCAACATTTGTTGTAATCTATCGAAAACATTACAACCCCAAGATGCACAAATGAATAAAGTGATTTATTTCATTAGCATGAGCATAAATCATTCTTGAGCATTGCAGTAAAGAGAAATGAACACCAGACAACACCAAAAGAGAATTGTGGTCTATCAATCCAATATTCACAACCTTATATACAGAAAATGTTAAGCTGTCTCTCAAGTTGTTTAATGATTTGGACCTCTAAAAACCTCACAAATCTGTAACTTTGTTCTTTCACATACTTCATGTTTGAGACAAATACTCCCCACACCCTTCCCCACCTTTTGAAGATTTTTCAAAGGTCTAGTTCTTTGTAGTTCATCAAAAAATTTGAGAAGAAAAAGATAGTGATTCATTTTTTTTTCTTTGATTCCCCACCCTACTTTCCTTACCCCTCTCTCTACATTCTCTCTCATGATTTGCTAATTCACCAATAGAAAATGTTTATATTAATGACCTACTGAGTTGGAATGTGGATGATAGTGATGTGTTGAGAATTCAATCCTCTACGTTTGGGTTGTTCTCTGAGGATAGAGGGATATCAATAGTCTTTCGTTTGGAATTTATATGCCATTGCTGATTACTTTTAAAATACTGGTCATCACATATTGTATCTTGGCTTAAAAAGGTGAGCATTTGCGACTACAAACCATGTGCATCTAGCTTGTGATCAACTTCTTGGACAAATCTACAGAAAGTCATAGTGGGTATGTGTTAAAACTGAATAAATCTAACCAAGAAAAATCCCTTCTAAATAACTCTTTTAGGTAGTGTTTGTTTCCAGGGATTTACTATTCATGAGCAAAGAAAGGCGAAGAAACTTATTGTTCGTTTCCGGTGATTTGCGACGACGAAAAGGAGAAAGAAACGTGATTCGCGTCCTCGCTTTTGTGCAAAGAAAGGAGAAGAAAGCCACGTAAGATTTATAAAAACCCAGAAATACTCTTTCGCATGCATGCATAGTGTGCCATGCAGTGAAAAAAGTATATACGAAAGAAACATAATCGATTATGCAAGAATACATAATCGATTATGACTTTACATAATAGATTATGTTGAAGCATAATCGATTATGCAAGGGCATAATCGATTATGTAGCCTTGCATAATCGATTATGCTGTATATATATATACAATATAATCGATTATGCTGTATATATATATACAACATAATCGATTATGCTGTATATATATATATACAGCATAATCGATTATGTTGTATATATATATACAGCATAATCGATTATATTGTATATATATATACAGCATAATCGATTATGCAAGGCTACATAATCGATTAT